TTTGAACAGGCAGGGGTTAGTCTGTGATGGTTAGCTTGGGGACAATAGTTGTTGTTGAAACTCTAAAGTAGCAATTTTGTTCATTAAATGGATTTTCTTCATGGCTTTATTCTCTTTTGGTTAATCCTTCCGCTTGTTCTTAATCCGTTATTCATTCTGAGCTATCTTCGGTTAGTTTGCTTTCTATTACCTAGCCCCCCTTTTCATTTTCCGTCGTTATTGAGTTCATTTTTATACTGGAGATTGTTGATCATTCATTAGGGCTTGTTTTTAACCAAACTGAACTGATAACACACAAAAAATAAATAAATAAATAAATAAGACCTCTAAGTTGTGTATTGGTACAAACGAGCATTAATCGCATTTTCAGCTCAAACAGGTGTTAACCCACATTTTTTAGCTAGCCATAGTTTACTAATAATGTGTATTGGTTCGACTTGATTTTTTTTGGCTAATTGTGCAGGAGAATATTGTTTTGTTAAGTGTATAAAAGATCTTGGAAGAATAAAAATGAATTTAGTTTGATTTAATCATTGTTCTATATTAGTATTATTTTTTTTCGCACTCAGCTTACGTAATGTCGACGCAAAAGTTTGTGGCGCACTCCATATCTAGAGATGAAAACAATGAGGATTCTAGTCGGTCATTTGATGAGCAACTTAACATAAGTTTAGCTGGTAAGTCACAATTATATATTGATCAATTTAATAACTCAGAATAATTTATATGACTTGATTTTTCATATCTAATCTCAGATGATTGTGAAGCCGACGGTGATTATATTCCACAGGTTGCATTGGCATCAATTCCTCATGAAAATCAGAGTTTTCAAACATTGGATGAAGCTAAAGACTTCTATATTGCTTATTCCAAAGAAGCTGGTTTTAGCGTCAGAGAAAGAAATGACAGGAAAAACCACAATCAAGAAGTCATATGGAAAATGTTCGTCTGTTATAAAGAAGGGACGAAGAGTATGAGATACCAAGAAAAAGTTAAGCATGTTGTTCAACGAACTGGAGAACGGGAAAGAGGAGATGTCAGATGCAAATGTTTGGCTAAGATGACTGTAAGCTGGAAAAAGGATGAACAACTTTGGAGAGTTTTGAAATTTAATGAAAAACACAATCATCCTCTTACCAGTCCGAGCAAGGTGCACGCTTTAAGAGTTCATAGGGATGTCTCACCTACAATAAGGTCTCTTGCTGTCGAGTTTAGAAATGCCAATTTGAAAACATCTGATCTCCGAAGGGTACTAGAAAGTGATGCTGGGGGTCCTGATAAAATAGGTTGTCTAGAAAAGGACTTGTACAACAGTGCTTCAAAATTACAGAATGTGGTCACTGGACATGATGCTGAAACGTTAATTGGCCACTTTGAGACAGAGAAGACAACATGTGAGTCTTTCTATTTTGCTTATGAAACCCATGAGGCTGGTGATACGTTTGATCGTTGTTACTGGCGTGATGCACATGCAAGAAATTCTTATGGTTGTTTTCCAGAGGTGGTGGTATTTGACTCGACATTTGGCACCAACAAATATGGAATTTTTTTTGCCCCTTTGTTGGAGTGAATAATCATAACCAGACTATAGTTTTTGGCTGTGGTCTTTTGAGTAACCAACGGACCGAATCATTTTCTTGGTTATTTTTTCAGTTTCTCAATTCGATGCCTGAAAAACGTCAGCCGGGGATGTTTATAACTGACCAAGATGCGGCTATTGCGGCGGCAGTTTATGAGGTATTTCCAAACACTGTGCACCGACTTTGCTTGTGGCATATACTTTCCAAGTTTCCGGAAAAAATAAATATTTCCATGCATGGAGATGACAAAACCAAACTGGTGCATGTTATCATGGACTCGGATGATCCAGAGGAGTTTGAGTCTCGTTGGTCAGAGTTGATGAGTACTACATCTTTGGGTCAAAATAAATGGGTGAATGATATGTACACTATTCGGGCAATGTGGATCCCTGCATATTTGAAAAATATTTTCTCAGCGGGAATGTCATCCTCACAACGTGCTGAAAGCAATCATTCTTTTTTTAAGAAATATTTGAGCCGTGACTGCTCACTCAATGATGTGTTTACGCGGTTTAGGAATGCAATTTCAAGGCAAAGGCATAAAATGTTATTACTAGACCATGCCGACAAAAATGAGAAACCGTCATTGAATTCTGCACAACCAATGGAGCGTCAGTTGTCGACAAGGTATACGAGGACAATATTTAAAAAGTTTCAAGAACAATTGAAGGTTTTGCCGGAGTACATCAGTAAACTCGTTGAAAAAGATCATGTAGTTTGTGTCTATGAAGTGTTCCCATTTAGTGGATCGAAGTTGAAGGATAAAACTTATCGGGTGACACAAAATGTTTCCACGAACATTCTCTCATGTAGTTGCCAGAAATTCAATGATATGGGGGTTCCATGTAGACACATGCTATATATGATGCAGGTAATCCTGTTTGTTAATTTATGGTATGTAATGATTTACAACAGAATTTTATATGCATCTCATTTTATTTTATGCTATTTTATATATAGGTTATGCAAATCAAGTTGTTGCCAGAAGAATATATTTTGTCTCGTTGGACACAAGAGGTAGGATCACCAATTTCTTTTGAAACAATCGTTTCTCCAATCACCCAAGAGCGAGGATATTTAGAGCGTAGCCGAGGGTTAACTGAGAAGTGGAAATAGTTGATCGAAAAGGCTGCTTTGACGGAGAAATCTACTATAATGTTACACAAAATGTTTGAAGAAGTGGAATCAAAAATACAAGGGAATGAAGTTGTGACCCCCAATGCTACACAAGAGTCATGCTCGGGAAAAGAGCACAAAGGTGAGGGTTTTGTAAGTGATCCAACGACAAATCGTGTAGTTCGTGGCCGCAAACGAATTTTAAGTATGCGAGATAAGGCAATTAAAAGTGGAGGCAAGCATTGTCGCAATTGTGGCAAAGTTGGTCATAACGCTCGTACATGCCCTGAAATTAAAGGCAAAGACAGGTAACTTAAATGTTCTCATTATGTTACTGATCTGTGTAACTTATTTTATTTATTTATTTATTTATTTGCAGATTATACTAGATTCTAATTTACTCTTGCTTATTTTGCATTTCTCCCCCTTTTTTTTTCTCTTCTCTAATGATTTTGTTTCAGATTAATATTTGTTAAAATTAATGATGAATGTTAATACTGATAAAAAACACCGAAAATAATTTTTATCATTAGCATTAATGCAAAATGCTAGAAATTGAAAATTATTAAATTAATTTTACAATTACAAAAGTGTATATGAGGAGCTTGATTTATTCAGCCAAACATTCATCCTTTTTAATTTAGTTATTATTA